CTTGCCCATCCTGAAATTCACCGTGTCCCCCCATAGAAACATTTCTAGAACTCTGCTGAATATAATCCTTCTTTTGCTCAGTTTTTGCTGAGCACAGGCATTTGTGATTGGACCAGAGTCAAACTTAGAAATCCACTGGCCAAATCATTCATACATCCACCGCTCTGTTTTCACTCAAATGTTCCTTTTCAGCTATTAGTTTTACATGGAAAGAGTATCTTACATACTACTGTTATTAACCAACTGGGAATCAGACATCTTCATCAACCTATGATAAAGCTTTTGCAAATCTGTCAAAAGATCTCAGTCTGCCTTCTGCCTGTCCCTGCAGCAAGCAACCCATATTTTCTGTATGAATTATGTCTGAAGTGAAGTAATAAATGGCATTTGTTGCTTCCCAAGTTGAAGTGTTTGGAATCCTAATGAGTTAAAACAGATTTGGATTCTAAACAAATTTACATCTGAGACAAGGAAAAAAGGGAAAATCCCTGTTCCCTTTTCCCGGTAAATTGCAATATTAATAAAGTATTAACAGTACTCTTTTGTGACACTTAAATTCCTCTTCATTTTACAGAACTGTGGGGCTGGCTCTCTGCTTGTTAATGTGTAGTACACAGTATTCCCTGTATGTAAAGTGGGAAGTAGAAAATGCAACTCTCAACCTTGTCCTGGCTGCTTGCCTAGGACAAAAAGTTGGCAACAGGATGGTGACTGGAAAGTAGAAACCCAACTTCCAAGACATGCACAAGGATATCATTAGCAATAACAGCTCTTTTGAAAGCCCAGCTACAATACTGTCATCAATTGTTGACAACCTTGGTGGGTCATTTAAAGAATGTAATAAAGGGAGAACAATTATCCAAGATCTCCTCTAAGCATATCACAAGAGTGGCTAAATTCAAATATCACAAGTTACGCTTAAGAAAATGCAATTACTGGATTTGGTAATGATGTCTCAGTAGTGAATAATAATCTTCTAATCAGTGGAGAGCTACACTCAGAAATAATAGTTCACATATTTATGGCAGTAGCTTGTACTGGTTCTTGCCCTTTGTATGGGGTTTCCTTGAGTAGGATCAGTACACAAACAGGTCCGTGTTATGCCAGCTCCTGCCACTGTACACTCAACTGGGTTTTTAAAAAGGTAAGGGTAAACTAGCAGGACAAAACTATTTCAGGTTGAGGGTCTCTTTGGGCTATAGTGCACTGGGAGCCACACTCCAAAAAGCAGGGGAGAACAATTTTGCTTGATTCATTTCATGAAAGCTAAATTATTTAAATAGATAAGACTTAATACAATTGTTCCCCATGTATACTATATAATAGTTTTCCCCTTCTGATACTCTAACAAATTGCATTGGTATTGATTTCTGGGGATGGGGGATGGGATTGGAGCCACTCACAAGAATTCAATAATGGCATCTGGCCCTAGAGCCACAACTTGTGCATTTCTAACGCAAATCATGGTTTTGTGTGATGTTTCAATCCAATCAATGTGTTTTACCATAACTACCCACTTATATTCCCAATGTTCTCTAGAGCTTGAAGAAGTGTGCTGATTAATAATAAAAATGCAATGTCTTTTTTCTAAAGAAAAAAATCATAAAGAGGGTCCCAGGTATAACATTTCAAGGCATATTGCAGTGTTATAGGACACTCCCCCAAAATCATTTTAAAATGTCTGAAGGAATTATTTGACATTTGTTAAAGAGAACTTTAACCTAACTGCTCAGAACTTTGCTCTCATTTGCTTCTATTTACTGATAAATAGGCTGCTACAGACATCTTTGAAAATAAAAATCAGACCCCAGCACGCTCACATGCCTCAGAGAAATATTTTTGATCAAAATGTAGCAGAAAGGTTAACAGACAATGTAAAATATGTTAGTGACACAGGCTGCATTAAGGAACAAACTGCCTTGTCCTTTTACTAAGCAAAAGTAATCTCCAGAAGGTTATGTGTATATTTGAAAGACAAAATAAAGGCAGGGGGGCGGTGGTGGTGGTGGGGAGAATGGCTGGTTATCCTTCTTCACATCTATTCTGGGATCTGTTCAACGTTTTCCTCTTACAAGCTTCTCCCTCCCCTGCATCCTTTGTTCTAAGAGAAAACTTAGCCCTTTCAAACATGTGCAGTGAAATTTTTTCTGGAACATGACACTGCTCCTAAGATCACTCAGAACTCAGAGAAGTGCTTCATTCCAATTGTAAGCCACATAATTAAAGAAGCATTAATCATGACTGTATAATTTGTACTAGTTAAAAGCATCTAATGGTGCTTTATCAAACTATTTGTATCATTTTTGTCAGTCCACAAACCCTATGATCAAGAAAAACACTACAGATAATAAAAAGCAGACTAAAGAACTGAGGACTAGTATCCCAAAACATATACCCATAAAATCTTCCTTTACAATTAATTTTTGACTTACAAGATGAAAAATGCAGAAGAAAAAGATTGTTATTGTGATTAGGGCCAGTTATAGAAAGCAATGAGCCAACTCCTCAGTTTCACAGAACGGTTGGTTGGGCTCAAACAAATTCAGGGTGGGGGAAAACAGGAAGGAAATAAAAGCTCTCTAACTATAATGAAGAGGACCCAACCCTCTGGCTTCTCCTCCCCTTTCTTCTTTTCAGTATTTCTGAGTCTAAGCAACTTATCTTTTCCGAGTTTCTTCGGTTCATATGCTTTTAAAGATGGTTTCCAACTTGATGCCTCATGAAATCCAGTTACATCCAATGCATTGCTTCTTTTCTTCAGTCATCTTCAAACATCCGTTGGAGGGTCATACAGAAGGAAAAGGAACAGCTAGCAACCCTGATCCAGGTGGATCTGGCCTGTTTGGCTATTTCTAAATGTTTAAAGCAGCCCGTTTTCAATTTGTCTTTCTTCTTCCACGTTCAGTGCAGTCGACTGCAAGCCTCTAATTCCTAATCAAAACAAGATTACTATTGCTTTCACTTTTATTTTTGCACTGTTTTGTGTCCTAGTTCAGAAGGAGAGAAAGAAAACAGGGTGTTCACAGAGAGGTAGGACAGAATGTTTGAGGAAACTAAAAGTGTGTATGCTTTTATTATTTTATCATAATATTAAGTTCACAGTTGAGGTCCATAAAAAAATCTGTATTTACAGAAGTAATTCTTGGTGGAACAAAGCTATTAATTTTAACTCAATTTTACTATTTTGATTCTCTGCTGATTCTATCACTGAAACCCTGTCAATGGCATCACTATAGGTACTAACCTATATAGAAATTCACTGCATGAACATACATATTATCCGTTTCAGTAGTCACTTTCAACAAAGGGCACTGACAATTCAGAAATTATAGTGTACTTTTTACTCAAACAGGCAAATATTAAAAGAAAAATCAAGCCACCTTCAAGCCATGTTTCCATACCTGCATTCCTATAAAGCCATTTTAAAAGATCTCTCAAAGCCAGAGGTGGGGAATCAGTGGTTTTGCCTATGGCACTGAACAAGAACACTCAGCATTACCAATACTGCAAGATGGATTGCTAGCAACATCTGGATAACCAGTCCTGCTCCAGGTCTCCATCCTCCTACTGGAACTCCCCAGTAAATCTTAAAACAAGCACTGTACATTCGGAATCCAGAGGAAGAAAAATAACTTCTTTTGCCTGTTTGCCTTCAATCACCCATGATGGAAAACGTGACCCATAATAAAGATCGAAATTCTTGAGCTCGATGGAAAATGACCATGCAGTGTGTGTACAACCACAGTGAAAAATGTAAATTCCAGGATAAGAATAAAACTTGCAAAACTACCAACATTGTAATGTTTACAATGCTACTACATTTGAAAAACTCTGTACAGTTCTGGCTACTGGACCGCTAAAAAGATATTGCAGGCAGGGCTGGAAATGATACAGAAAGGGACAATGAAAATGATCGAGAACTTCGGGAAACTCCCCTCTGAGGTTTCAAAGTTCGGGGATTTTTTTTTTTTTTTGCTTAAAAAAAGATCAAATTACGTGAGAGATGTAGACAATCCTTTCAAAAGACTAACACATTTTTCCAAGAAAGCGATTTGTTTTTATTTTGAAGGAATATCACATCCCAATGGATCTACCAAAGAGGTCCTTTTTTTTTTCCCTGCTCTTTTTTTGAAAGAGCTACAAGAGATACTATTTTTCTCTTTTTAAACTCTACTGACTCGGGGTTAGTTTGCCAAGCTGTAATGCTAGCAACTTGGTTTTTCAAAGAAGCGCTGCAGGAGACTTCTTGAAGAGATGAAATCCAATAGTCTCTGAGAAAAACTAAGGTGAAGAAAGGCTTTTAGAATAATCATGCTGAAAACCTCTCACACTTGGCAGGGAATAAATCGCACTGAGCTCAGTGGAACATGTCGCTGAGTAAGGCTGCACTGGGAGATTTTCAAAACTCTGCAGATCAAACAAGCAGTTCAGGCATGCTCCGTGTGGGGCTATAGCAGTGTTGTCCAAACTTGGCCACTTTAAGATGAGTGGACTTCAATTCCCAGAATTCCCCAGCCAGCCA